AACATCTTATTTTACAGGTGAGAAATCTGAAGCAGAGTGAAATTAGGTAACTTGAGTGAGGTGTCTTGAGTCTGGTTGGTTCTGAATCCAGGCAGTCTAGCCCAGAGCCCAAGCTCATATTATTTTGTTTTACAATTTGTAAAAGATTTGCTTTGAAATGTACTCCTAAAGTCCCCAACTGGGGCTCTCCAAGCTGCTCAGCAATCAGTGGCGGCACCAAGTGGTAACCTGGGTGTACTGCAGCCCTCTCATAATCTCCATAAACCATGAGTCAGAATCAACTCTACCTCAACGGGTTTGGTTTTTTGGTAAGCTCTCCCAAATAAATTTATACTCCAAGTAAAGCCACTATACTTGCTCTGAAGAGGCAGCTTCATGACAAGTCTGCCTTCCAACCAGACTGCCTTCCCTCAACCCCTTTTAACCCCTTCTATATAGAAATTCTGGGACGACCACTCTCAGCAACCTTTTTATTCTTACCTAATTTGTTCTCAGGAAGAAGGGCTGGCAATCTACTTCTGAAAATAAGCCAGTGAAAAGCCTATGGATCACAACAGTCCAATCTTCAACCAATCATGGAGATGGTGCAGAACCAGCCTGTGTTTCATTCCATTGTGCATGGGGTTGCCATGAGTTGGGGCCAACTAGTGGCAGCTAACAACAATTTGTTCTCATACTACCCACCAGTTACCAGTTGCCATCGAGTTGACTCTGACTTATGGTGACTACATATGTGTGTCAGAGTAGAACTGTGCTCCACAGGGTTTTCAGTGGCAGATTTTTTGGAAGTAGATCACCAGGCCTTTTTTCTGAGGCACCCCTGGGTGGACTTGAACTTCCAACCTTTAGGTTAGAAGTCAAGTGCATTAACCATTTGCACCATCCAGGGAGTCTATATTACCCACAATGAACTTTATTCTAGTTAAAAGCATCAAATTCTGCTCTCACTCTCTCATTCTCAGATGACCTTACCTACTAAACTCCTTCCACCTCCCTCGCCTCTGCTTCACAATGTCTCCCTTTCTCCTGTCTCAGAGGAAGAGGGTCTTTTACAAGGTTAACTTATATTTTATATCTCATCTCTATTTCCCCTAGCATGTTACTCCATTAATTACCTCCTTCCTTTCTTGCCTCTTCAATTTCTCTCTCACCAGTGGATCTTCCTGCTCAATCTGAAATAAGCTCCAATTTCCCCTATCCTGCAATGATAAAAAAAAACAAAACTAAGCAATCAAACAAAACTCTTCTTGAACAGTCACCCAAAGATACACCTTCTTTTTTAATTTATTTTGTTATTGTTGTAGAGAATATACGCAGCAAAACATACACCAATTCAACAGTTTCTACACGTGCAGTTCAGTGACATTGATTACATTCTTCGAGTTGTGCAACGATTCTCACCCTCCTTTTCTGAGTTGTTCCTCCCCCATTAACATAAACTCACTGCCCCCTAAGGTTCAGATACATCTTCTTAAAGAACAGTTCCAGGAAAGGAATTGCCCTGATCAAAAACCTCAATTCTTTCTCAGTCGCTTTCTGAATTAAGTACAAATCTCAGTCCACCATTCAGTATCCTCCAAAATTGGGTCTCAGTTTATCTTCTGATTATATCTCCCACAACTCCCCTGTATTTCCCTACCCTAAGCTTCAATCACAGAAGACTACTTACAGGTCCTCATATATGATTTCCTGCCTGTACACCTTTGTACAAGGTGTTACCTCCACTTGGGTTTACCTTTATCAAAGGACTCAGCACAACCTGTCTTAGATTCTTTCTAGGTACTTGTGACAACCCCCCGACCCCCACTACGCACACAAAGCAAGAACTAAATATTACCAGGTGAGAAAGTAAAAATTAGCTTGGACTGAGTAAAAATTCAACCTGTCATAAAGGCAGCTATAAATTTAACAGGAAACAATATTTCTCCAAAGACAAGCTGCAGTTGTAAAATGATAACAACCCCCTTATTTGAGTGACCACTGCTTTTTCATTCACTGAAAAGCTTTGTTCTCTAAAATCATAAACTATCAGAAACTTTGCTGGTTGAAATCGTATCAGTAAGAATAAAATATCCTACATTTGTCTGGAGGATATGAGTTTCTTTGACAAAGAGAAGCAGCCTTGATTTTAAACCAGGTGTAGAGCTTCAGATAAGGGGTATCTGGACACAGCATTCCACATCTATCTATACTTTGTGGTTCCCAAGGAAACAGGACTCTGGGCTCATTTTGCAGTCCAGCCCTGATGTTGATCCCTTTACACACAGCCCTGCTTTGCTTTGAGCTTACAAAACACGTTGCTTCGTTGATAATTCAGCTGAACTCCACCCTTCTCCCGAATCCTATGATAATTGTTTGTTGAGATACCCAAAGATGTTTCTCATATCTCAAAGATGCGCAGTCTTCCCTCATTGCCCCTGTTGCCGTCCAGTTGATTCCAATTCAGCGACCCTATAGAACAGGGTAGAACTGCCCCATAGGGTTCCCAAGGCTATAATCTTTATGGAAGCACATTGCCATATCTTTCTTAGATGGAGCAGCTGGTGGGTTTGAACTGTCAACCTTTCAGTTAGCAGCCGAGCTCTTAACCACTGTGCCACTAGAGATCCTTTCCCTCATTGCAATGGGTGAAAAAACCTGACTTTGTCCAACTGCAAATTTGTCCTTGGTGGCCTTTAGCTGATTGGGTTAGGATACAGGTTTTGTATCCCTCAGCACTTAGCTAGTACAAAGTAGGTAGTCAAAAATGTTTACTGCAGTAGACCCTGAATTAGAGTACTTGAATTCTAGTATGATTACCTAGATTGATTGTATAGATTCCAGTCTCAGTTCTGCCAATAACTAATTGGCTGGATCATCGTAAGCAAGTCAGTGCACCTCCTTTGGCCTAAGTTTTCTCTTCCGTAAAATGAGGAACTGTTTGTTCTAATCCTAGGGGAAGGGTTTTGGAGTCAGAAGACCCAGGTTGGAATCCCAATTCTACTGTTTACTAATCCCGTAACTTTTGCTTTTCTGAGCCTTGGGGTAATGAATTGAATTGTGTCCCCCAAAAAAGTGTGTGAACTTGGCTAGGCCATGATTCCCAGTATTGTGTGGTTGTCCACCATTTTGTGATATGATGTGATTATCCTATGTGTTGTAAATCCTAACCTCTATTATGTTAATCAGGCAGGATTAGAGGTAGTTATGTTAATGAGGCAGGACTCAATCTACAGGATTAGGTTGTACCTTGAGTCTTTTGAGATATAAAAGAGAGAATTGAGCAGAGAGGAAAACGGACCTCCTACCACCAAGAATGAAGAACCAAAGTGGAGGTGTCTTTTGGACTCCAGGTCCCCGTACCAAGAAACTCCTAGATCAGGGGACGATTGATGACAAGGACCTTCCCCCAGAATGGACAGAGGGAGAAAGCCTTCCGCTGGAGCTGGTGCCCTGAATTCCGACTTCTAGCCTCCTAGACCCTGAGAGAATAAATTTCTGTTTGTTAAAGCCATCCACTTGTGGTATTTCTGTTATAGCAGCACTAGATAACTAAGACACTCAGTTTTGTAATTATTTAAATGAAGATAATACTGATAACTGTGATGTGAATTTTCCAGTGTTGCCGTGAGGATCACACTGGTTGCTACAAGCATCATTAAATTTTATCACTATTCCTACTACTACCAATATGTGATCTCAGACAAGTTACTTCGTTTCTCTGTTTTCTTATGAACAAAAATGGAGAAATAATAGTACATACCCCTTGGGGTAAGGAGCCCTGGTGTCCCAGTGGTTAAGTGCTGGGCTGCCAAGCAGAAGGTCGGCAACTCCAACCCACCAGCCAACCCAAAGGTTCAATAGTTGGAACCCACCAGCCGCTCTGTGGGACAAAGATGTGGCAGTCTGCTTCCTTAATTATTTACAGCCTTGGAATCCCTATGGGGCGGTTCTTCTCTGTCCTGTAGGGTCGCTACAAGTCGGCTTCGACTTGACGGCACCGGGTTTTTTTTGTTTTTGTTTTTTTTAATCCCTTGGCGTTATGGTGAGCATTAAATGAGGTGAAAAAAGTAAAGGGATTAGAGCAGTGCCTGGAATAACAAGAGGTTCAAAATACGTGAGCTAATTAACTACTGGTGCATAGGTTCAGGATAAATAGTTTTATTCTAAGGACAAAGCCAAAGAAAGTACTGCAGACTCGAAACATAACGAAGTATCCCTTCCTCACATACAGTTGAAACGCCCAGCACTAGGTTAGGACCCACCCACTCCGCATTAAATATGGCAGCAAGCAAGGCCGCCCTACTGCGGTTGCGCTAGCTGAAACTCCGCCCAGCACCGTCTTCGCTCCTTTCTCCGCCTCCGTTGGCCTCATCCCCCTCCCCGCCTCTGCCGAGGTGTTGGTAGATGGCCGGCCGCGGCGCGCACGCGCAGATGTCGGCTGTCCTGAGCGCTGACTTGTGAGGCGCCTGTCACATGAGCTGCGCGCCTGCTCTGCTCCCCCCTCCTCCCTGGCTGGGTTGGGTGAATGAAGCTCTGCCGGCTACGTGAGGCGCTAGCTCAACTTGGTGTTCTGGACGCCAGAGCGAACTGAGCGCTCTCACCGCGGGCGGCGGACACAGGCTCAGCTGCTTCTGACTCAGCGACAGGTAAAGACAAAAGGGCTGTCCCTTCCCCAACAGGTTCTTCGCGGCACCGCGGTTCCCTGGCCCACTCTCTGAGCACCCGCTGAACGCAGCGACCCCGGCGGAGCGCTCCCCTGCCAGCTCGGCCCAGGGAGATAGGTGATTCCCGTGCCCGGCCGCGGCTGCCTGGCACTTGGAGGAGTTAGCGAGGCTGGTTCCAGCCAGTGCGGGGCGGCATCTTGCCGGGAGCCCAACCCTGTTCTCCGAGCAAGGGTCCCTGACCTGCCTGAGCGAAGTTTCCTCGCAGAGCGGTGCCAAGCCCGCCTGGGTTTTGAATGTGGGTAGTTAGTTGCATGTGTCCCCTTTCCAGGACCAGGGCAGGATGGCTTTTGCTGGTAAAGCTCTGTCGAGGCCCATTCTTCTTCTTCCTGCTCTGGACTCGCGGGTTTATGTGGATCTTAGCGAAGCTGAGTCCAAACTCTCAGAAAAGGAGTTGCTGCGCGTTTTCCTTTTCCCACTTAACGCGCGTGGATGGTTCTCTCCAGACTTTCGAGGCTTGCGCTTGAGCTCCTTTACCCTTAGAGGGAAAGCTTTTGCCTTTACTTTGACGTGCGTTTACCTTTATTAACATTTCATAGCAAATCAGTTTCCTGGAGTTCCAGAGAAGTTGCGTGTACGCTCGTGTGATAACGTCAGTGTAAGCTCCTTCGAGTAATCGAGGGAAATCCAGAAGTTTGGAGCACAAAAAGCCAGTAAGATCCACTTTATATAAACTTCATGCATTTGTTAGCAACTACCCAGGTTTAACTTAAGAGATGTTAAATTTTCGCCTTGTCCCATTAGGCTCAGATCAGTACTTCCTAACTGCATGTAAAATAGGAGTGGAGGAGGAAGGCAAACCAAAACAAACTGCCCTAGGTTCCAGATAAGTCACCGGGGCGATTTTTCCTGGTGAATTCATCCTGGGAATATATGAGTTCCTAGATTTCCTGGACTTCTTGAACCGTTCCTTAACCAAATCATTGTCTTTTCTCTAGCGGTATTTTTTGAGACTAGTGTGTACATTAATCCTTAAAAAAAAAAAGTCATTAAAGAAGGCCAAAATGATGATTCTTAAGTTAGTATTGGTCTTTCAGTGTTTGTTTTTTAGCGGTTTCACTTTGGGGATGGAGGTGTTGATTGTATAAAAGCTATGGAAATAACAACCTACTTTGATGTTCACCAGGTCAGAAAGGTGAGGACTTTTCCTTAGAAAAAGCAAATTGGCTTGTATGCTAAATAAGGAAGACCAATTTATTAACTAAGAACTTGTTTAAATGGACAAGCACAAGTGTCCAATACATTAAATCTCTGAATCAAGCAGTCAAACATCTCACTTTTTCTCCCATCCCTAGCTCCTTTCATATCTTTACAAATAGTATTGTCCTAAGACTGGATTTGAAGTTTTAAAAATAGGAATTAGCTGAATTAATTTGGTTTTACTTAAACTAGTCTTATATTTTTACATTTTTCTCTTTTTTGGTTCATTTTTTTCCCTGCTTATAAAAGGAATATATGCTCACTATAGGAAATTCGTTAATTGTGGAAAAGTATAACGAGGTGGGGCGGAAGAACCATGAGCCAAAAACACCATCACGTTTAACTTTTTATTATTATTATATTTTAATGCAAGATCTATTTTAAAACTTTAAGTATTCACAACATTCGCTCTCCTTTCTACTGATTTTTAATGTAACGTTGGGTATTTGAGGGTTGGATGTTATACTGCTCTTCATTCCCAGAAGCGTGGAACTTCAAGATGGGAAAGACGTTTAGCTGTTATCCAACCACCCAACCTTTAAGATTCTGAAACCCATTTACTGAGGATCCAGTGATTCATGCAGAATTGTACAGCACTGAGTAGCAAAATTGATTGACTCTAGATTTCCCGATTGATTCTCTCTTTCTTCAGCAATTCTTGCTGCTTACGGGGAAACGTGACACTGCCTGTGTCTGCATATCTTTGAAAGCGAGATTCAGAGAGGAGCAGGAGATAATTTTCAAGGATTTGAAATGTATTTTTTCATTTATGTATTCATTTTTCTTTTTACATTTTTCAGGGCTGGGGGGTTCTAGCATCTTCCAGAAAGCAGGACCACACCTTCCATCTTCACCCCATTCAAGACTCCGTACTAAACTGGGGGGTGCTCTGAGAAACCCTGAGACTGTGACCCCAGCCTGGGAGAAGATAGGATCAAGATGGCCATGTGGCAGGGTAAGAAATTAGCGCTTATTCCTCTAACTGGTTTTTCCTCCTTCTCTATCCTCCACTCTTACCCAACCCCCCAAGCCAGTGGCAGCCAGCCAGCTGTTTCTTTAATTTAACCCTTTGTCTTGGCAAGGACAAAGCACATTAACTTAAAAGAAGCTGCTGTAAGCTAGAAGCTCAAATTATTTTAAAGGAGAAGTGGAGGGGTGAAGGGAGGTAGCAGGAAAATTTAGTGCCAGAAGCATTTTAAAAGAACTCCCTTCATTTAAACATGTGCTTGTGGGGATTATATATGAGGAAACAATATTTTTTTATATTTGTGCTTTTCATTTGTTTCCGGCAAATTTCTATCATAGGATTCTCAAAGGTGGGTAAACAGATGTCAGTGTCTCCCTGGCTTCGTCTTCTCAATAAAGAATTTCCTGGGACTTAATGCAGCTTGTAAAAGCATATTTAATATTACAGTGTTTATATTTGGTGACGGAGGTAAAAATGCCTATTTTAATAATGTGAACTACCCAAGAGCAAAGCTCAACAACACCTCGGCTGGTGGAGTTACATCTCTTGTGAACCTGTGAATTGCTACCACGTAAAAAGTTTATTCTTTATTTTTAGTGGGGTTGAGGATGGTACCCCTCAGTAGAGTATCAGAATCACCAAGAGTATGTGGGATTCTTATGTTTATCAAAAGAGGATGTGGGTTTAAAAATGATAGACAAACACTACCCAAATTCATCTGTGACCAACAAAAGGTTAAAGACCACTTAACTGAGTAGAATGAAGTAGCTTGAATAACTATAAATGTTCAACAGGTAGGTTTGTTGGTGGTCTAATGTATCTCTTAACAACGTCTTATTGTGTTGGTTATTGCTTTAAATATGTAGGCACGCAAACGTAACAAGTATTTTTGATGGGCAATGATGGTCAATTTAAAGATATTTTTTGAAATGGGGTTTGGCCTGTATACCTGTTTCGACTCACACAATGACTATTTATCAAGAGAAGTTTGGATACTCTTGCTTAAATTCTGAGACATTCTTTCATTCAACAAACAGGATACAAAGATGAATGAGACACAACTCTGGAGGGTTTGGTTGTCTTGTGGGAAAGACAGACATATAAACAAATAATTATATCACATTGCATAAGTATCATAATAGGGAGAGGTGCAAAATACGATGGATGAACTCTGAGATTTGAGCTGATCTAAAAAAACGAGTGGGAGTTTGCCGGATGGGCAAATGAGAGAATTGCATTCTGGGCAGACAGAGAAGCACTATTTTGGAACTTCCAAGTTGCTCCGTTTGCCTAGTATGAGATGTGTAGGGGCATGACCTCAGATGAAGCAGGGAAGGTAGTCAGAGGCCAGATAATAAAGGGCCTTGTATGCTCTATCCTGACGACAAAGATTCTAAACAGGGAGGTAACATAACCACATTTTGTTTTAGAAAGATTACTTTGGCAGCAGTGGTAGGTGGAATTGGAGCTGGAGAGAATGAAAGCAGGAAGACCAATTGGGAGGTTTCTGGTATAGTGGTTTAGGGGAGAGATGGTGAGGGTCTGAGAAGCAGGGGCAGCAAGGAGGGAGAGAAGAGGATGGATTCTAGAAATGTTCTCTGACTGGTTATGGGGGGAACGGAGTCTGGGTTGACACCCAGTTTGGATGCCTGGGGGCCAGTGGTGTCATTCACTGAGATGGGGATCCTGAGAGGAAGCATGAAGGGCATGGGGATGGTGGGAAGCTCATGTAGTGAGTTTGTTTACACCTGTTTTGCTTGAGACACCTGTGGGCTATTAGGTTGATGTTTTGAAAGTATGGAACTGGAGTTTGTGCAGGTAGGGAACTAAAGAGCTTGTGTTTTTCTCTCTTTTCAAAAATATTTAACAGAAATGTCATTAATAGTTAATGCTCTTGCTATTTTATAATAAAACATTTTAATGGATAACAAGTCATAATAAATTCTTATATTTTCTTAATAAACAATGTATTTTGAAACCTCAGATCCTGGAACGTGATCTGTTTAAAATGACATTGGAGTAAAACCTCATTTATCTAGCGTTAATGAAGAAGGGAGTAGTCCACATAAGGAAATTTTTTTGGATAGTATAGTATAGTGGTTAAAAGCGTGGGCCTGGGTTCAACTCTCTTGGTTCCAGCACTTGGTGCTGTGAGACCTTGGGCAAGTCACTTAACCTCTCTGTGTCTTAGTTTCCTGCTATATAAAATGGGGATAATAATAGAACTCACTTTATAGGGTTGTTGTGAGGATTAAATATATGTATGTATATATGTATATTAAGTACCATAAAACTGTGTACCATTTGTATTATGATACTTACAATATTGTCTAGCATATAATAAGTGCTCAGTAAAATTTAGCAATAGCTATCATTATTATCATCAACATCATATTATTATTTTTCTATAGCCTGTGTTGGCACTGGGACTCTGTTCTGTGAAGATAATTTCAGGTTGTTTTTGCAAGCCCTATCCTGTGGTAGTCTGTTTGGGTCTTTAACTAGATGTTTAGACCTGAAGAGATCTTAGAAAACTTCTGGCCCAACCCCTGGAGGTTAAGCCATGTGCCCAAGGTCAAACAGCTAATAGTTGATAGTAGTGACAGGACTAAAACCTAGATTTCCTGACACTATATTCCCATTTTCTTTCCATGGGCTGGTAGAAAAGGGAATGTAGGAACTGTTTCACTCTCAGTTCAAGGAAGCTTCGGAGTTAGTCTCTGGAGCTAGTTGAGGAGTTCTAAGAGCTGCGAGAACCCAAATCTCCTTAGTTGCTTGGGTCAGTGCTATCTAGTTCTGACCCTGGAGTTCTTCCATGGAACATTTGATCAGAATTCTTATACCTCTTAAATATGGCTAACATTATTATTTTGACTTCAGTTGATAAAACTTTCTAATACATTTCCAGGCCACTTTGAAGAGACTGTACTGGGCATAATATCAGTTTTATTGGTCTAATTGTCAACAAAGTATTAAAGAGAAGACTAGGCAGTTTGGGGTGGGATGAGGTACGATGCTTGTATTGTTAGGTGTTATTTATTTATTCAGTTAACATTTATTGAACACTAGTTGTGCACCAGGCATTATGCTGGGCCCTGGAGATGCAATAGTCAGTAAAAACAGGTATGATTCAGTAGTCTTGGGGGACATCTAGGTCAGTTGGCATAACATAGTTCAAAAAGATAATGTTCTGCATCCTACTGTGGCAAGTAGCATCTGGGGTCTTAAAAGCTTGCAAGTGGCCATCTGAGATAGAACTATTGGTCTTGTCCCTCTCTGGGGCAGAGGAGAGTGAAGGAAACCAAAGACTCAAGGAAGCAATTAGTCCAAAAGACTAATGGCCCACATGAACCACAGCCTCCTCTAGCCTGAGATCAGAAGAACTAGATGGTGCCCGGCTACCACTACTGACTGCTCTGACCAGGGACACGATAGAAGGTCCCAGTTAGAATGGGAGAAAAATGTAGAACAAAACTCAAATTCATGAAAAAGACCAGACTTACTGGAATGATAGAGACTAGAGGAACTCCCGAGACTATCGCCCTAAAACACCCTTTTAACTTGGAACTGAAGCCACTCCTGGAGGCCACCTTTCAGCCAAATAATAGATTGGCCTATAAAATAATAACACTATGAGGAGCGTGCTCCTTAGAATAGTCAACTAGAGAGAGACCAAATGGGCAACATTTGCCCAAAAGCAAAGATGAAGGCAGAGAGGGGCAGGGAAACTGGAGGGATGAAAATAGCAAAGCCAGGGTGGAAATGGTGAGAGTGCTGACACATTGCAGGGGACATCAGCCAATGTCACGGAATAATTTGTGTATAAATCGTTGAATGGGAAACTAATTTGCTGTAGAAACTTTCACCTAAACCACAATAAAATGTTAAAAAAAAAGGTATGATTTCTGCTCTCATAGAGTTTATCAACTTGGATAAATGTAACATTTTAAATTAATGGAGAAATGATTTATTTAACAATTGTGCTGAAGTAATAATTACTTAATTTGGAAAGGTTGACACCACCATAAATTTAAAAGGATTAAAATAGTGTTTCTTAATAAAGGGGGGAGGAATGTGCATTGTAATGATCTGTGGTGCTTTTAAAAATATTCCTGTTCAGGCCTCATTGCTCCAAATTGTGATTCAGTCTTAAGACCTGAGCGTTTAAAGAAAGAAGCTCTCTAGGCAGTTGTAATGTGTAATCCCAATTGGGAACTGCTACATTTGAGAGCTAGCAGTTTACAAAAAAGAGAAATGATAAAAAAAAAAAAACTAAAAAATATAGGAGAATATTTATTATAATCTTGGAGTAAGGAAGATACTTGTATGTGTAGTATCAAAGATAGAAAAGTAAAGAAAAAGATTAATAGATTATATAAAAATTTAATATTTCTGCACAAAACCATAAAGTTAATGAGGAAACTAGAAACAATTGCAACAAGACTCATTATCCTTAACACACACAGACTTCCAGAGCAATAAGAAAAATACAAGTATTGTACTAGAAAAATGTGCGAAGGCTGGTGTCTTAGTCATCTCGTGCTGCTATAACAGAAATACCACAATGGATGGCTTTAACAAAGAGAAATTTATTTCCTCGCAGTAAGGTAGGCTAAAAGTCCAAATTCAGGGCATCAGCTTCAGGGGAAGGCTTTCTCTCTCTGTCGGCCTTCTTCTCATCAGTGTTCCCGTAGACTGGGAGCTTCTCCACGCAGGGACCCCGGGTCCAAAGGACACGCTCTACTCCTGGCACTGCTTTCTTGGTGGTGTGAGGTCCCCCTGTCTCTCTGCTTACTTCTCTCTTTTGTATCTCAAGAGATTGCCTCAGGACACAATCCAGTCTTACAGACTTGAGTCCTGCCATATTAACACAACTGCCACCCATTCTCCCTCATTAACATCATAGAGGCAGGATTTACAACATATAGGAAAATCACACAATACCAGGAATCATGGCCCAGCCAAATTGATACACACATTTTTAGGGG